AGAGGGTGAGCGCGCGATTGTCCTGGCTGAGGATAGTGGCCAAGGCCAGCCTGGGAGCGGTGCGAAGTCCGGGAGAGGTTTGGACGCTGGACCTAGGATGCAAAGCAATTGTCCCAAATAACTCGATCATGGTTTATCGAACACTTTCTGGACCCAGGAACAGGAACCCATTTGTTTGCAGAAAGTTCATAGCCTTCTCGGAATACTCGACATCAATGGACGAAACCCGGTATCCAAGTTGGTGCCTTGAAGATTGTGGCTTAGATTCAAAGACCGCTGGACTATACTAGAGTCAAAAGGGCTAGGCACCAAACATCTTCTTGGATACTTCCCCACGCCCTGCAAAGATTTCGGTGAAGTTGTACTTCTTGTCATCAAACTTCAATCTCGAGTTCCAAGAAAGCAACAGCACCTCATGCGAACCATCCGCCCTACAGAACTTGAACTTCCAGCTATAGGGATATGCGTATGGTAGCCATGCGCAGCATCGGATACATTCAGCGAAGGCGAACTGGGACTAAGGTCCATGCCAGTGCGATGAGCACCTTGCGTGGGCCCGGTCATCCCAAGATATCCGAGTATATGTTGTTTCATTTCATTCGCGTATACATGTGCATGTATCATATAGCCCCGAGATTCACACTTTTGGTGCGCGGACTTGAAGGAGCGATCTTACAATAGTCATGGCTTTCCCAATTTCGTTCACTCTAGGCCGGGCCAAAAACAACTGGACATGCACGTGCTCCACTGGTGGTTTGTCTATCGTACATCATCTCATCTCTGAGCAACTGTCCAAGCACTCCATCAAAGGGGGGTAACGCACCTTTGATGCTGCCTCGAATCTTCCAAGCCATATGACGCCTGCCAACGAGCCGGGGCATGTACAATTATATAGATGATTGAAACATAAAGCGCTCAGGTTGAAGAATCGGACGACTCCTTTGCAGCTCCAGGCCAACACTGGCCACTGATCTTAAGGCCTTTGCCAGCCCTGGATCTTGTATCCTAACAAAATACCCCAACTTCGAGGCACATGTTCTTCAGTGCCCCTGTGGGCACTCCCCTCACGTGACCTCTTAAGCCCCTTTGGTCCATGTTCCAAGAATCACCCAGGAACAGTTGAGAGCTGTTTAGTATATATAGCGGTGGTGTTTCTTGCAAGCCCCATGGACCAGCCCTGCTTCCCTGTCAGCGTGGCTCAAACATCGCAAGCCACAAAAAGTCTAAGCCCGCGGAACTCAGCGATCAGTTGGTCTCAGCGATCAATCTGTCTCAGCGTATGCCTCAGGTGCACGGGGAGAAAAGCTACGCATACCCACAGTGCGAGCACTAGTTGCTATAAGATATTGGCTTCCAAAAAGTCAAAACTTAAACATATTGGATACTGGGGGGCTTTTCTTCCAGCAGCTGTGCACTCTTCCTCGCTCAACCCCTGATCCTTGGCTGCCTTGTGTGCTCTCCTATAGGCTTTTGACTTTCTAGCGTTGCGTTGCTTTTGGTCAATTTTCTTGTCGTTTGCTGACGGAGCATCCGCAGTGGAAGTCTTGTTGTCTTCATTGCGGGGTGCCTCGCTAGCTTCTTGCTTGGAGCGGTTGGCGGGTGTCTTTTGCTTTGCCTTGGAGTCTGCCTTGGGTTTGGCAGATCTCTTTGGCTTCGGAACATCCTTGGCCTCATCATGGACCTCTGGTTCCTCACCAGTTGACTTGTGACGTTTGGCATTCGACTTTGCCACAACATCCTTGGGCTTGGCCTCATCCTTGGCCTCCTCATCCTTGCTGGTCGGGGTGACTGCTTTGGTCTTGGCCTTCCGTTTTGCGGCAGGCGTTGGATCCTCACCTGGGTCAGCATTCGAAGCTTTTGCCTTGCTGGCTTTGGCCTTTCCCTTTGCTTTTGGCTTTGGTGTCGCTTTGACTTTTGGTTTCCTGCCCTTTGGTGCTGCTTTGGCTTTTGGTTTCCTGCCCTTTTTGGGAGATGCCTTTGCTTTCCCTTTGCCCCGGGGTCTGCCCTTACGGGGGCCAGCGCCAGAATCACAAGACTTGGCCATCTGTGTTTGCTCAGCCGGGGAAATGGACGGTTCTCTGTCTACTGCCGCCGGTTTGGCTGTCATGTCATTCTCATTCCCTACAGCCCTAGAGGCAGCGTCCCCAACCTCCGGCGAAGGATGATCAGCGCTCTTGGCAACCTTGGCAGTTTCTGCCACTGGCACTGCCATGGTAGCAGGCGTAGGAGTTCCACCAGTACTGGATTCATGAGCCTGCACATAGGAAAACGAACAGTATTGATACGCTATATGTGTGTTAAGTTTGTAAGAGACTATGTGAAAAGACTCTCAACCACTTGCACCAAACGCTTTTCCCGTTCATTCTCTCCTACCAGCCTTCGGGCTTGCAGGCTGTGGATCCGCTTCAGGCTCAACAGAGGCTGGGAAAGCGTGCGACTTGTCCTTGACTGGGACTGGGGAGGCTGAAGCAATCATGGTTGCGTACGCTGCAGCCTCTGTAGGGGCCATGGGCTGGGTCTCAATGTTATCCAGGCCTGAGCTTTCTACAGCGAACAAAACCCCTAGACAGTCCCCTAGAGATATAGTTCAAAAAAAGCGATGTTGCTTATATGTTTCTTCATTAACGCAGCTTTGGAACCGGGTTCTCCAGTCATAGTTTGGTGTTTGGCAGCAAGAAGTTGTTGTAGCTTAAGCCGTTCCTCTTGCAAACTCTTGAGGAGAAGAAGCTTGGTCATTTTTTCCTCGGCCACGTATAGGTCTCCTGCAATCTTGGGTCGCTTCATGCACTGCTCCTCTGCTGGAGGCATTGAGGTCTTGCCCTTAGCCTCCGACACTGGAGCAAGTTCTGAGGGGGCAGCTTTTGCAGGAATGGGTTCTGCAGAAGCAGGTTCTGGAACCACGGGCGGGGAGGGGCAGGCCTCTTTCAGAAAGGAGTCCAAGCAATCACTAGTAGCTTCGCAATGACGACACATGATGGCTTTCTTTACGATACTGTGACACCCCAAAACAGTAGCGCTGCATGGATTCTCCAAAATCCGCTCAACGTTGATATGCATGTGCTTGCACTCCAAACAACGATAACCGCATTTGACAGCCACGTGTGGAGAAGATTTGCTGCCAGACATAGGAGAGAATAGCAAGCCTCAGTCACCCATTTTTTTTGGATGCACACTGTGAGGCGAAACATGCAGCCATATTTTTTTAATGTATATTATATATTTATATCGGCGCTGACATGCAGCTGGGGTGCTCCGAGGTTGAGGCGTCACAATCACATCAGACGAAGCTCGCTGAAATGGAGGTGTGGCTGGTATGTTGCCCACGCCTAGGAGTTTGAGAGCACGCAAATCTTCTGTAGACTCTTTATAGAATGACACGTCATGTCTAAAATATCGAGCCTAGGCCTAGTTCAAAGACATTCACAATGCACTCACTGACGCATGCAAACGAGTTTCATGCAGAATTCCCACCAGCACCGTTGGTATCTTTGGGATTGCTGCAAAGGTCGTTTTCCGGAAGCGATTCCTTCTTAGCCTGGCCGGGGCGGTTGTGTTTGTTTCCCATCACTGGTCATGGAAAAGTCCCCACAATTGGTTCATCAACACGTCGAAGCATTTGCCTCTTCCACTTCCACTTCGTTATCATCGGTCGCAGCTTCAGATTCTGGATCTTCGCTGAGTTCATCATCATCTCCAGGTCCAGCTCCTGGGCTTGGATGCGATGGGCGGGCTGAGGTTCGCAAGGTTTTGTTTATCTCACCCCATGTATAGATTGAAAATTGGTACGCACGTACATGCATCTAAAACTCCTTCCGCTGCAGCCGGTTCAGATGGCGATGGCAGAGGAATGCCAATGCATTCAAAGAGCTTCCTCAACTCCGGGCTGCGAGGGATATGGGGGCGGCGAGCCACCGAAGCAAGGATCGATATCATGTTGCGGATCACCCAAGCCTCTGTCTTGATTTCATCGCCTGAGATGAGCTAGAGGTGGTTTCATGAAGAACATGTTGCACGGCACGGCTAAAGGCCTAGCCTAACATTTTTTAGTTTTAACGTTCATCCTCATTGCATATACTGATACTTCACCAAGTGGCCTTTAGGAACTGGCTTTCCCCTTGGTCTGCACTGGAATAGAAAGCGCCCCACCAAATCTTCCAGGAGTCCTATGCTTGGTCGCATGCCTTGGGTACGGCAAACCACACGTGACACATACAACTTTATTAAGGAGTCACATGGTACTATAAACATGCCACATAGCGCACAAATGAAACAAATGAAATACAGACTGGATGCCAAAGTTGGTCAATATTGGTGCCAACATTTCGTAGTTGTCGGACACCGTGTCTCGATCGATGGTATTTTTCCGAACTAGTGCGATGGTTCCCTTCGATGCTCGGGATACCAACTCTTCCATCTCCATCCACTCTTCGACGACCGGACACTTGTCGCCTTCCATTGCAACCAGCTTAGATGTCTAGACTTAGACTTGCGCTAAGCTCGAGCCACCTCTTCACGGTAAACATGTGTATGCTCGAAGCCCCAATCAGACTGCACTTCCGCCAAACACCAGCGGTGTTGCCCAGGCCTTCACCTGATCATCCCAGAGTTCATCAGCGCATACATGCATACCTGGAAAAACAGGGCTCGGCCAGGAAGGTGGGACATGAGGTGCACAAGGTCTTGCATGCACAAAAGGGCGCACGAACACCCCTGTATGCTGGTGAGCGCCCCCAGTTGCTGAACAACTTGACCCCGCGCTGCTCAAGTGGCGAAAAAACCATACGAATCGAAAAAGTGATACGAGGCCTCAAAAAGTACTACGATTCTGGAAAGAATAGTACGAATTGAAATTTATAGTACGAAGGAGCCAGGTACAAAGTTTTCTAGTACGATTGGTCCTCTAGGTTGGAAGGGGTTTGAGCATGGGTATGCTTGAGGATTTGCGCGGATGAACTGGTAGGGTAGGGAAATGTATCATGAGATCTCTGCATCCAAGGATCCCCGCTAATTTCCGCATCAATCTGGTCACAAGCGCCGTTGTCTGCGCATAACAAGTTGTCGACCCCTTTGACTTCGGACTGCTTGCAGGCATTGATGCCGGAGCAGCACATGTCATTGGTGCACTGACTGACTCCCGAGGTGTCCATGTGGATCCGGGCCTTGTTGTGGCAAGCATTCTGGTCGCTGCAGCAGGCGGCGCCCACATTTTTCACGTTCCAGAAGACCCTGCAAGACTCTTCGCCAGAGCAATCAAGATAGTTGCCTGACAGTTAAGTTTCCCTAAAAGTCTAGGAACTAACCAAATCATTAGCGCGAGCTATCGTGCGTCCGGTCGGTAGTAGCTATTAAAACTACTAGCGGCCTACCCCCCCTGCGCGCGAAAAGCTCCGACCACAGCTATAGCTACTACCTCTATCTAGCTACTACCTCTACGGCCTACCCCCCCCCGGGGCCAAAAATAAAAGAAAACTCTTTGCCGCAATCAAGATAGTTGCTGGAGTCGGCGAACTGGAAGAACTTGTCCTTGTCCGCCGCGGCATTGGAGTCACTCCTGCACGAGTTGCGCCCCGCGCAGCGTAGCCCTCCGAGGTTGAAGGGCCCGATAATTTGAGGATCAGGATCCGGAGTGCATCTGCAGGCGCCATCTGCACCGCACGTCCCGGCATTCAGATCCTCTTCCTCTTGGGTAGTGCACTGGTCAGCCGACTGCTGGACCTTGCGGAATCAGACTGCAAAACACCAAGGCAAACAGCAGCAGACCGCAGCCTTCGAGCCCTTCAGGCCAGGCCCGAAACTCCAACAAAAATGGCCTCCCAACGATTGTGTTCACGCTCGGGAAGCCAAGGAGCTTGGAATTGTAGCATTGCAGTCTTATCATCACACGGCCTCATGAAGCAAACGCACGCACGAACGGCAACACGAAGCGACACACTTGGGCCCAACAAACAGCTACGATCGAAGCCAAGTACAAGGTCGTATACTGTTTGGTATACTCCGATTGGAATAACTGGTCAAACAGTTCGTCTCACATTCCTCGACGAAGCAAACACAAAATATGCTGTCTCAAGCATGGACCCCTGAAAACACACGAAAATGGACAGATTGACTAGAACATACTAAAAACCCATTCATTGGGGATCTTCTTGAAGTTGAAACACTGGGTGCCAGGCGCATGGCTCGAGCAATTGCCAGCACCAAGAGTCTCCTGCCAAATGCGCCAAGAGAGCACCCACTTGTTTTCACGAGGCTGGATGGGTGCACCTGGTCACTCTCAGGCTATGATGGCTATGTGTTTTCTCAAATTGTTGACCCACGTTGTCGCTGACTGTTGGCCATTTGTAACTGGTTCGGAATAGTTTCTTTCGATCTACTGGTTCAAAGTGCTCCAACCTGGACTTGCGGCACCTGCGCTGTTTGAAAATTATATTGACATTTCAGGATTCTAAGCCACAGAATGTGAATGATCGTACCTCGCCTGGCACCAAGCCAGCTGCACAGTCAGCTGCACCCAAAGAAGAGTCCACATAATCTTCATCAGTGAAATAGACATGAAAGCTCGTTGGAAAGGTTGTCCCTTGTAAGCCAAACACTGCTGCGCAAATGAGGGATGCAAGCAAATCTGGCCTGTTTTGCGTAGCAAGACTTCTCAAGTACGTATCCAACTTCCAGCGACTGCGGCCGCCTGCGAGTGCTGAACCAATCTGCGTTCCCCATCCAAAAAAACGGATCTCCAACAGCCCTTATACGCCAGTACAGTACTGGACCTATCTGCGTGGAGGTGGCTTGGAAGCAAGACTTCCAGCCATGCGCTTAAAAAAGGGATCGAAACCATCGCAAGAAAAAACCTTCACCAAAACCAAACCACAACAGCCCATCAAAGAATCAAAAAATGAACAATCCATGGAGTTGGATGTCAGACACTTTGTACAGCGAAACCCTCGAATTCCATTCGCACGACCGCAGGTCCCATCGTCGGAACCGTCTCCGCTTCTGCTCCACCGGTGGCACCGCTGGGTTCGGCGTTCGCTCGCCGTGCGGTGGCACCAGTCACACTTGAGGGACGGGGAGTCCAAGAGGTGAACGAGAGGAAAAGCAGCCTACTTCACCTGCCCGGGGCCCAGCTGGCGAACCTTTCACAGCTGTCCCAGCTGCGGCTACAACCTCAGATGACATACGATCCGAAAAAGACTTCTCTGCGCTCGCTCGACCTGCCAAGCCCATCCAACGCGTGCCCATCGAGATGTGGAGCCAAGCTGCATGGGGTGCCCTCATTGTCGGCTTCATCTACCAAGCTCACAGCAGCTTGGCACGGAGCAAAGGTCGTTTGAACGCCTTTTTGTCCAACCCGCGTGGAACATGGAGTTGGGCGTCCCGCTCTGTTCCAATGTTACCCATTGAAGCGTTGAAACGCTTTCCAACCTAAGTTCCGTTCTGTTTAAGAGCTTCTATTCAAGTTTCGGATCAAAACATGGAATCGATTGGTTTTTTCGCCTGCCAGGTCACGGAGAGGAGCACTCAATCCTGAAGGCATCGATAGTTAGGTCATGTTCCACCGTGCTTATTACGTCGGATGGCATATCATATGGTCAACAATAAGAAATGCCTGTCTCACCTGTCTCAAGGATTTCCCTATACAAACAAAATAGATTGCAAATTATGACAATGCGCTTACACCTACGCCGGGCCCTGTCAGCATATTGTTGATCCTCTCTGGTTCTGACTATCCGTCAAGGCCTTACTCTTGTGAGAGAGGTCCTGGGCAGTCAGTTTTGGAATGACCCATTGCAGATGCTTCCGGCCTTGCAGACTTGCCGGATGCTCCCCACCCAAAAGCATGAAAAAGGGTTTTCCGGTCGGACGCGCGCTGGACATAAAGCATACTGTCTTCCGCTTCAGTCGGGTCCCACGCAACTTCCAGCGCTTCGAGCTGCTCGTCTCGGTCTTGAAAGCGCTTCGAGCGCCTGTTGGTCAAAGCCGGCGCTGCAGAGGTGTCAAAGCCAGCGTTCTCGCCAGGCAAGGCGTTGAGATCGATTCGAAAGGTTCACACCCGGTTCGCGAAGGAGTGACTATAAGGAAACCACCCGGGATGGACAGCACATGATGGACAAGGGTACATGAAGGGTGCAATATGGGTACATGGTCACCTTGGAATGAATTTGGTATAACGGCAAAGTTGATCAGCTCAGAAGCATGAGTTTGAGATCCAGCCATCTCAACGAGTTAGGAGCGGACACGAGCGGGCCCATGTTCCACAGTCTTGCGCTTGCTGAACTCCCACAGCCTTCATGTCATACAAAATGCAACCAGGCTCCTTTCTGTAGCAGCGCCGTCCGTTGGCTCAAAGGAGCGTTTTGGGTCTCATGGCGACGCCTCCAGCTCTGAGCTACCTGTATCTATGGACTATATCAACTGTGTCTAATCCTAGCCCAGCAGGCCCAGCAGGCCCAGCAGCGCGACGCAACCAACCACAGTGGTCCGACAGGCGTTGACCCCTCTTAGGTACGCAACCACCGATTCGGACCGGCAAAGGGCCAAGCTTCTGGAAGTTGCATCCCCAGGACAGTGTGACATTCACCTGGTCCATGCAGAAGAAGATGCTTTGTGCAATTGGCACCCAAGTCCGGCGGATCGAAATGCGATTTCATACCGCCTTCGAAAAACACTCGTCACGGAGTCGGACAAATGGGGTTCTGACAAGCACAGGTACTGGCATTGGCTGCACTGCAATCTTCCGCATGGTCGGTGCCACCTCTCCGAGCTCAAGCTCACCCACCCTGATGTCATCCCTATTCGGGACAGAATGGCGGCACCACTCCGACTTGCGTCCTGGATTCGAAACCGTCATGGACCAAAAGGACTGGTTAACAGCAATTGAATTGCTGGTGCCCAAGATCTTTCTACCTGACCCTACAAGTTCACTATCACGTTGCCCTGTCAGCTGACTTTTTTTTGCACGAGTCGAGGCGCTATGTGTGCAGGTTCTGCACAAGTCACCTTAGTCGAGTTAAGAAAGAGTTGCTAAACAGGTTGCAGCCATCAGAGAAACAAAACCAAAAGGCCCCCAAACCAAACACCCCAAACAAACAGCAACCAAACCACCAACAGCACCAGGGAGGGAGCAACCTGTTAAGCAAGCGTGAGGCCGAGTAGGCATGGTGAAAAGAGGTGAAACAGGGGCAACGAATTCAGCAAAGCGCTCAGTAGATCTTGTCCATCAACGAACGCGTTTGCACGTAGAACTCCGGAGAGATCTTGTTCAAGCAGCAGGAGTTCTCAGATATCTCCCTTATCTGGCAAATTGCATGGACAAGAATTGCTTGAATGCTCGAACGCTCCACAAGAGCCCACAGCAGACTCAGGTGCGCATGACACTGAGAGGTCCAGAAGAGACAAAATTGGACCACCCTGTGTGACAGGAGGACTGCTTTGCTGCAGACCGCAACCAAACACATTCAAGCAAAGGTGTGGCAAAAAAGGGGAAGACCACTGCATTCATGATCGGTATTTCCAAAATGCCGACGACGAGAGGCAGTGTATTGCCACTGTGCGAATTTCCAAGAAAAAGCCATGGGAGTAGCTTGTCCCGTTCCTCCCCCCAAGGGGGGAGGCAACACAGGGAGCATGCCAAGTCAGCCCCGGCTCCAAAACGGCTCAGCAACGGGAGCGAGGCAAGACATGCTCCATGGACAGCAGGATGAGCATCCATCGTAGCACAAATGCTGCAGTTGTGCTGCAGTAAAGTGTCTGAAATTTCCTTCAAACGCGGCCAGGTGAGGCATGGCCGATACATGCAAGGCCCCATAAACTACTCGAAAATAGGTGAGACGTGGTGAGAAGCCGTTATCCTAGGTCTGTACACTGTACCCATCCAGCACCACTACACGGGTAGCAGCCTGGGCACTGTCTAGCTACTCAGGCTAGCGAAAGCAAGGAGCAAAATGAACAAAAGGAAATTGACTGGCACTCTCAGGACCAACACACGGGTGCTAGTCTGAAAGGCTAGCAGGCAGGTAGTATACAGCATTTGCATGTATGGCACGATTGGTAGCGTGTGCCTGTTGCGTGTGTCTGCAGGTCCTGTCGTTGTTTTAGTCCTGGTCCCTGTCCCTTTCCCGCGAGCATACCCAGGAGATTCTTTGATGGGTAGCCTTTGGACAGCAGCTCAAAAGAGATGGCCATTGTTATGAGCAAGGCCTGCACCCCGGCGCCAGCTGAGGGCACCACTGTCTGCATCTTTGCAACTTTGGTGCTAAAGTATTGCTCACACAGGAATCATCTACCCATTTATCCTCGTCCTTGGGGATACGCGGCAGCCAGCGAACCCACTGTGGCATGTCAAGGTTGCCACATCTAAGGAAAGCGTTGGCTCGAGTGTAAGTTCCTCTCCAAGTCATACATTTGCCAGCTCTTTGAAATTGCTTGAGCTGCGTACAACCAGCGAAGGCACGCCTTGCAATATAGAGCACTCTAGGTGGCACACTGAAATCAGTTAAGGAGGTGCACTTGAGAAAGGCTTCCTGCTCAATGATTCGCAGCTTGTGTGGAAGCCTCAAGGATCGCAAGTTTTTACAGTGCGCAAAGGCACAGCCCATGATTTCCGTAATCTCCGTACGTGAGAGATCCACTAACTGCAGCTGCAGGCAACGTTCGCAGGCCGCTGGTCCCACCCAGTTGAAGTCTGGGGGCAGGGTCAAGCCTGCAGGAAGCAGCATTCTGGCAAGCATCGCGTCAAACTGGCAGGGTTGTATTCAGACTTTTCCAGATCGAGTTGTCGCAGAGCTGTGCATTTTTCGAAAGCTCGAGGCATCAACTCTGCCTGCGGGGCTAATTGATTGGCCGTGCCCTCGCTAGTCCCAATTTGCACCAGGGAACAGCACTCTTCAAAGACTTGGATCCCAAACTGCTTGCAACCTGGGGCGAGCACCTTCCGCAGGGCATAGCAACGCCAAAAGACTCGCGTTTGCAGGCTGATAACTGTGCTGCGCAGATGCACAATTTGGAGGTGTTGGCAGTTGCGCCAAGCTCCCTCCCCTACGATGCGATATCCTGCATTGACTTGCACGTGTCGTATCTTTGCAACATGCGAGAAAGCTTGCGGGAGGACTCTGTCGGTTGCATGGAATGGGACTCGCATGGCTTTGGCATCTCCTTGCATTTGCCCCTTATGTTCCGCCTCCTCAAAACATGGCCTTGAGATGACAGTAAAGCAATTGCAATCTCGCAAGGTGTGCCAAATCGGGTCTACTAACTTCTGTTGTGAGTCGCGGCAAACAAAATCCAGCTCACACCCAAAAGTACTACTGTCTCCTATCTCGGGGAGTTGCTCCAGAACTGCGCTTTCGAACTCCTGGAGGCGGTCAAATTCCTGGAGCTCGATAGTCAGTTGGGTTTCCTCTCCCGCCAATGTGGCTAAAATCAAATGTAAGATCATTGACCTTTCATCACTCCATTGTGAGCTGGTCATCGATCCGCACTCTGCAGTCATGGCTTATGGTGATTGACTCTGGCAGGGCAGGTGTCTTCGAGCCGAAAGGTCCTGCGGAGACTACAATCGGGCTTGATTATCTGGCCATGCTGACTGCTGCTAGCAGTTAACGTTGCTAACATTTTTACAATGCTGAGGGAAAGACAACTGCACGGGCAGCCATCAGAGCGCTGTCTTCTAATACTATTGCGTTGTTTCATCTTTTCGACCCCCCCTGACTATGCGTTGTTGGGTGCCCTGACTGCCCCGTACGGATAGGTAGCAAATCCCTCCAGGGATGGTCAGTGCATGACACCCCTCAAAAGCATTGGCCGCTACTTGTAGGCGGCGTCGGCCGACCTTTGTACTGCGATATGTGAGGCACAACAGCTTGCTGCACCCTGCAAAGGCTCTGTGTCCAATGTAGCGAAGGTGCCGGGGAAGCGCTACAGTACACAACGAAACACAATCTTCGAAGGCCTCTGCACTAATTTCGGTGAGGCGCTTTGGCAAGGATATTTGCGCCAACGACCGACAATGCGAAAAGACTTGCATATGCACAATGTCAACTTGTGTCTGCGAGAGATCAATTTCGGTTAGTTGCAGGCATTGGGCAAAGGCCTTATGCCCTATAAAAGCGGTTGCTCTGGGCATGATAACTACCTGTATGCCGGCCGAATGGAAGCATCCCGTTGGCAAGCCTTCAGGGAAGGACGACGCAACCTGCATATCAGTGACGGCTTTGGTCTGGAGGAGGCCTATCTGCGTAAGCCTTTCACATCCTTCAAACGCATAGGGGGAAATGGTAGCTCCACTGGCCAGTCGGCAGGAGTTTTCTGTGAGCACCCCTACCTGTTCGAGGGCGCAACATTCTGCGAAGAGTCTGGCTCCTAGGGACAAACAACCTGGCATCGCCACTGTGGTGAGTAACACCCTTGAAAGGCAGCATTCGCAATTGTAACCACAGAGCTAGGCAGTTTGACAATGGTGAGGGTGTGGCAGTAGCGCCACACCTGTCGCTCTATGGTGTGATAGCCTCCTTCTACTTGCACATGCCGCAGCCTGGCTAGAGCAAAAAAAGCTTTGGCAGGGAGAATGCCTGATTCATTAGCAGGGACCCAGATGGCCTTGGGGTGATCATCATACTCTTCTCTACGGATCTGCACCTTCGAGCTCACCATTCGGAAGCTTTTTTGGATGACCAGTTGAAACCTCTTGTCCTCCCAGAGCTCTTCATGGATAGGGTCACTAAGCGGACTGAGGGTGTCCTCTGCTATGAGCATCAACTCACAACCAAAAGTGTCAAGGTCAAAGCTTCTGGCTAGCAGCTCCACCAAGTAGTCTTCTAGCATTTCCCAATGATGGTAAATGCTAACGGGTACTATCGCTTCAATTTCTTTGCCTGCCAAGGTGACTAACCTCAGTGGGCAGTGGCAGATGCCTGCAAAGTTGTCTTTGTCACTCTCTCTGTTGTCCATGAGGCAATCTCCAACGGCAAGCCTTGCAATGTGGTTACTAGCACCGGTTTGAGCCAATGGCAGCCGCTTTTGCCTGTCTGTACACGCTCTGCGAGTCAGCACTGGCTGTTGTGTGCTCATCTGGCGCATTTGCTTGCTTAGCTTGTTCAGCTTGTTCGGCTTCTGCGTGAAAAGCTTGAATGGGGTTCGCGAGGTCCATTGTTCGATAGAAAGCATCAAACCTCAACACTGCGCGCTCTGCATATATTGCCTCCATATCATGTAAGTACCTTGGATAACTGAACCACCCGACTTTGTGCTGCCATTCAGCATCAGAGATGGCATTATGCCGCGGGAGCGCATAAGGCAGCACCGTTTTGTCAGTGAGGCCAGCCTGGTGTCCTTGTCGATAATAGCGCTGGAGCAGGTGTTGCGGGGTGTTTTTTGCACGGGTATGGGCGCTATGTGTGCCGAAAGGCACAAGTCACCGAGACGAATTCAGATGGGGGGTACGTAAGATGAGCCTGACAATCAAGACCAGCAGCACCAAACCAGACCCAAAAACCAAGAACCACACCAAACAAACAACCAACAAACCAGAACCAGAGGGGTCAGGCTCAAAC